CTTTGTCACACATAACTTGGGCATGTTTTAGAAGGGGCTGGTCTTTAAGAAAGGTGTAGGGTCGGTGAAAAAGAGAAAGACCTTCAACAACATGGACTGACCCTCAAAACAACTCTGAGATATCATCTCACCCCAGTCAGAATAGCAAAATTTAACAGAACAGCAAACACCAAATGCGAGGTTGTGGAGAAACTGGAATCCTTGTTCACTGTTAGTGGGAGTGTAAAATGGTGCAACCACTATGGAAGGCTCTATGGTGCTTTCTCAAAAAGTTGGAAATAGAGATACCATTTGACCCAGCAATTCCACTACTGGGAATATACCCCAAAGAAACCATAACCGCCACCCAAGGAGATATATGCACACCCATGTGTATCGGGGCTTTGTTCACAATAGCAAAGAATTGAAAACACCCAACTACCCATTAACAAGCAAGTGGATAGAGAAGCTCTGGTATATTCACACAATGGAGTACTATGCTGCATTGAAAAACAAGGAACTCATGAAATAGTATGCAAAATCGGTGACCCTGGAGGACATGATGCTGAGTGAAGTATCTCAGTCACAAAAAGACAAATATTGCCTAGTGCCACTGTTGTAAAACAGGACTGACATCGGGGTTGGGAAGAGACTGAGAAAGATGGGATAACTAATGTATACTGCATTGAAACAGATGAGGGAGAGAACTGTTTAAAAGGGATTTATGACTAGATATTATTGTCGTGACAGGAGTCCGGAATGAAGTCTACACAGTGGAGTGGACTGGGGGCTGGGGTGGGGGTGGATTGTATAACAATGAAAGAATTTTTCTTTTACTTTTCAAAGAGAAGAGCGAACTGAGGGGGTGGGCAGGGAGAAAGTCTCTCTAAACTTTCATTAAAATGAATTAAATTTTTTAAAAAAAGATGAATTGACACTGTGACAGCAAAAATACCAGGGAGTCTAGTAGCTGAGGCCATAAGGAGCCAGGCTGTGAACCCAAATGTGGTGTTTCTCTGATGGTTCGAATCCACCAGGGACTCCCCGGGGGAAAGATGAACAGCCTCCCAAGACTCAGTGATGGGCCAGCCAGCAATGAGTTACTCCTGATTCGCTGGCAATGCTGTCCATTTTTTTAATTTGTTTGTTTAAAGCATTATTAAGCATAGTGAGAGCTGTGTTGGGGTCAGCACAGAGGAGGCTCTGAGCTCACAGTCAGATGGTATGCAGAGCTTCCTGAAAGAGCGAGCAGATCTCAAAATCCTGGGTCATTCAAGCCCAGCTCCTTCCTCTCTCTCTGGCTGTGCAGGTCCCTAGACCTCTCTGAGAGCCACGTGTCCCTTGATCTGTGATAGATGAATAACAAGGATGTTTGGAGGATGCAGCCAGATACTGCCCAGGCAGCGTTTAGCACGGAAGGTTCCTGAAGCGTGAAAGCCAGTAATTACTGTTATTGTTCTTAAATTGGGAGACCTGAAGGACCAGTTGTGAATAGCCTGGTTGGGGGAGGGTGAGGAGTGAGAGAGCATTCAGGAAACAGGGTGGTGTGGAAAGCCTGGAGGGACAGACAGGAGTGGATGATGATGGAGTAAGGTCTGGAAGTTCTGAGGAACTGGGTCTTCCTCCTGAGGGTCCCGGGGAGCCCTGGGAGGAGGGTGAGCAAAGGAGGAAGGCAGAGTCAGTCAGCACTGGGGGTAGAAGGACTTGTGAGAGACTGGAGAGAAGGCTGGGTGAGGAGAGGAAGGCTGGGTTAGGAAGATAAAGGGCAAAGATTAGGGCTCTCGAGGAGGGACAGGGGAGAGGGATGGATCAAAGGCCTCCAGCGCAATTACTACAGAGATGGAGATATCCTGACCCCAGAGGAAGGTTGAGTTCAGGAGGGTGAGCACTTGAGAGTAGGGGACCAGGATGTGCGTAAGGGACCTGGGACGACTCACAAGAGCAGCTCTGGATTTGAGGAAAGATGAGTGAGTTGAGACTCAGACCTGAAGGTGCCAGGGAGCCATGGGAGAGTTTAGAGACAGGGGAGGAGGATTGAGTGTATCCAGGGTAGAGAGTGGGAACAAAGAAACCTGAGTTGAGGCTGGCAGAGGTGGGGCTTTCTTGCTGAGAGGGTACAGCTGCCTCCTTCACGAAGTCCTCCCAGCTTTGCCCCACCCTGCCACAATTCCAGTGGGTGTTCAGATCTCCAGGAGCCCTGGTATTGCGACAGTTATGTGTGCAGATGCTGAAGAGAGAGGTTGATGGTTTGAACCCACCCAGTGGCTCGGACAGGCGGGACCAAGCCCTCCCAGAGAAGTCACAACCCAGAAAACCCTGTGAGCTTGTTCTACTCTACTCTGTAGCACTGTTATGAATTGAAATGGACCTGAGGGCACCGGGCAGCAACATGAGGAGCCCTGGTGGTACAGAGGGTTAGGTATTGGACTACAAGCCAAAAGGTCAGCAGTTCGAATCCATGGGAGAACAAGACAGCCTGCTCCCATGAAGATTTACAGCCTCTGCACACCCATGCCTATCGTGGCTTTGATCACAATAGCAAAGAGCTGGAAACAACCCAAATGCCCATCAACAAATGAATGGATAGAGAAGCTCTGGTATAGTCACACAATGGAGTACTATACTGCATTGTAAAACAAGGAACTCATGAAATATTATACAGAATGGGTGATCATGGAGGACATTATGCTGAGTGAAGTATCTCAGTCACAAAAGGACAAATACTGCAGAGTGCCACTGTTGTAAAACAGGACTGACATCGGGATTGGGGGGAGACTGAGAAAGAGGGAATAAATAATGTATACTACATTGAAACAGATGAGGGAGAGAACTGTTTAAAAGCGATATATGATTAGGTATTGTCATGACAAGAGTCCAGAATGAAGGCTGCATAATGGAGTGGACTTGGGAGGAGGGCTTGTATAACAGTGAAATTTTTCTTTTACTTTCCAAAGAGAAAAGTTAATGGAGGGGGTGGGCAGGGAGAAAAGTGCAACAATGAATGACTGGAAATCCAAAGACACTGGAAACTTCATTGAATTTAATAATAATTTAAAAAAATTAGGGAATGCTGGTGGCTTAGTGGCAAGAAGCTGTGCTGTAATCCCAGAGGTATGTGGTTCAAATCCACCAACTTCTCTATTGGAGAAGGTGGGACAATCTCCTCCTGTACCAGTCAGATCTGATTTGATGGTACACACACACAAAATAATACAATAAAATAAAATAAAATTATAGCCCAGAAACCTCATGGGACAGTTCTGCTGGGCTTAGAGGGTGTTTGTGTCTTCAATCAGTTCATGGCAGTGGAGTGGGTTGGGTTTGGTTTGAGGGGAATGATACCACCATCTAGTTTGAGGGGGAAAAGATGTTGAACCGGAAGAAAAGGTCCACTTCTTCAAAGCCACATGGTGCCTTTGCAGCAAGGACTGGAGTCCCCTGGCTGTTAGGACGCCCCTCTACAAAGGTTCCTACCCTCACCTCCATCGCGGAGTTCCTCCGCTGTGTGGCCCTGGGAAGGTCGCTGCACCTTTGGGAGCCACAAGTCTGTCTTTCCTAAAACTGAAGACAAACACTCCTCCATTCACAGCTGCGAAAGAGGCCTTGGTGACACAGTGGTTGAGCACTAGGCTGGTGCCTACCCAGTTAGTCCTTTCAGATTCGCTCCAGGCAAGAAACATCTGAATGAGTGAAAAATCTAAGTTCTCTGTAAATATTTGTTAAAATCACAATTGAAATAAAATTTAATTATTTTTATTTATTTTTTAAAAAGGAAACATCTGGCGAGCTCTGGTGGCCAAATGGCAAGAAGCTGCACTGCAATCCCAGAGCTGAGCAGTTCGAAGCTACCAGATGCTCTGCTGGAGAAGGAGGGGCAATCTCCTCCTGTACCCAGTCAGATCTCATTTGACGGTACACAGACACAAAATAATTAAAAAAAAATAAAAAAGAAACATCTGGGGAGAAAAAGGAGACAGGGAGGAAAATGTGCAACAATGAATGAACGGAAATCCACATTTTCTATAAACTTTCATTAAAATCTTAATTAAAAAAAAAAAAGAAACATCTGACAGTCCTCTTCTGTAATGATATGATTGTAGCCAAATGCACCCCGGCGTGGGGGGCGGATTGCCTTTCAGCCAACAATAATCAGATCCTCACTGGAGGGTCATCTGGGGGATTCGAACCACTAGCAACGTGATAAGGACCCTGATTCTCCTTAGTCAGACAACAAACGCATCCTCAGGGACGGGTAGGCATGTAGAATGTAAGAGCTCAAAGGGGCCGGAGTTGCATGGCCAACCACTTTAAAGGTTCAAATCCAGCAGCTGTTTTGTGAGAGAAAAGGGGTGTGTGTTCCCTCTACCCCATTTACAGCCTTGGAAAACCCACAGGAGGGTCAACGGTGAGTCGGTTCTGGCCAGAGGGCACAGGAGAATAACCACAAAGCATGTAAGGCAGGAAGGGAGAGGAGAGGACAGGACAGGTGGAAACGGGAAACACGAGAAGGATGAGGAAGAGAGCGGTTACGATTTGGATGTTGGCCATCGATGTCAGGAGACAATTGCAGAATGGAAAACCGATTTGCTTTGTAAAACTTCACACAGATCCCAATGCAAAGGGTTGGCTTGTTGGCTGTATGAGAGTGTGTGTGTGTGTGTGTGTGTGTGTGTGTGTGTGTGTGTGTGTGATTACAGCTAAGAAAAATTCTGGGCAGTTCCACTTGGGGAGCACATAGGCTTGCTCCATTGTGCCCCTCGACACCCCACCTGAGGGCCACGGAGCCCCAGGGGGGGTCAGGCTGGGCTTCACGATGGGGCTGCTGATGGAAGCAGTCGGGTGGGGTGGGTGGCTCTGCCACCGGATGGGGTGGGGGATCCTGGCACCTCCCGCGGGTCCAACTCACTTCCCCGCCCAGGAAGCTACCAGTCCTGTCGGACTTGTCCTGCCTGGGAGGGATGGGGCACAGGTCTCGAGCCAGTGTCCCTGAGCCAGTGTCCCTTCGGGGTGCGGCCAGCACCATGGACACCTGGCGGGCTCTGCCGCTCTGTCTGCTTCTAGGTGAGTTCTCAGCCCAGCCCCTTCCCCACGAGGGCACCCCCTTTCCCTTGCAGCCTCCCCTTTCCCCACTAGCACCCCCTTTCCCTGCAGCCTCCCATCTGTCCTCCTTTCTCTCTCTCCAGCTTCCAGGGTTGGTGTCCTCGCCCTCCAAGCGCCTGGTACCAATCTCTCCTTCACCTCCGAAAGCTCTTCCCAGCTGGATTTCCAAGCTGCCCACAAACTTTCAGATTCTTCTCCAGGCACTCAAGCCTCAGCTGATATCCCTGATCCCAAATGGATTCTGGAGGACCAGGGTTCAAATGTTCTATCAGGGTCCCTCTGGGCAAATGTATCTGAGGAGGGTGAGCCCTGGCAATTCCCTCGGAAGCCCCTGGATTCCACCTCGCCTGAAGTCTCTGCGTCTGAAGTGGGGTCCGATGTTCCCGCCAGAAGCCCCGAGGCTGCCTTTCCTGTTCACACCCCGGCTTCCAGCATTCCTGCTCAAGTCCCAGACAGCAAGTTCTCCCCAGAGGATCTGGGACCCTCCTTGCACCAAGAGTCAGGAATACCTGAGGGTACCCATTCAGCGTCCAGCTTTCCCCAGCAGGTTGGAGGACCTCTGGCGGTTCTAGTGGGTACTACCATCCGGCTGCCCCTGGTCCCAGCGCCCGTCCCCGGGCCCCCTGCCTCACTGGTGGTCTGGCGCCGAGGCTCCACTGTGCTGGCCGCTGGGGGTCTGGGGCCAGGAGCCCCTCTGATCAGCCTGGACCCTGCCCACCGACACCGCCTGCGATTTGACCAAGTTGGAGGGGGTCTGGAAGTCACCTCTGCCCAGCTGGGAGACGCTGGAGTCTACACAGCCGAGGTCATCCGAGCTGGGGTCTCCCGGCAGATTCGAGAGTTCACAGTGGGCGTGTATGGTACGTGGACACCAGGGGCTACTCTGCTCTGGGGGAGGGGGCTTTTAGGTATTTGTAGGCAATTTAAGGTACATATTTACAACTCACTGCTATCGCCTCAGAACTACTCATAGCTGACTCATCATTGGGTTTCTAAGATTGGAAATCCAAGGAGAAGATTGTCCATCTGCCTCCACTGGAGCTGCTGCTGGATTTGATCTCCCAACCTTTTGACTGGTGGCTGAGTGTTTCAACCATTGTGATGACAGATCTCACCCTTTATTGCCCATAAACACAACAACCCCAGGAGCAATCTTGCAGTCCTGAAGGGCCAGCTATGAGCTGAATTTGTGGGTTTGGTTTTTGTTTTGTTTTTTAGTTTGAAATCTTTCTTTTGGAAGAGGCAGAAATCCTGCTGGCAGATTTGAACTGCCGGCCTCTCAGTTAAGCACTATGCCATGAGGGCATCTCCTTAAATGCCCATAACTGAATTTTAACTGCTTGCTGTTAAATCAGAACCAGCCAGAATGGGACTTCAGCATATTTTTGGAAGCTGCAAACTACTAGTGGATTCGAACCACATGCTTTGGATTGGCATTGCAACTCCTTAACTCACGAGGCCACCTAATGGTTGTTTTCAGGGCTGTGGGACCCTGTAGGACAGAGGTGAACTCCCTAGCAGGTTTGCAAGTCTGTCATCTTCATGGAAGCCTCTTGAGCACCTGCTGGTGGGTTCCAATGACTGACCTTTCACTTAGCCTGTGAGCACTAACTTCTCCTTTTGAATATTTTATTGTGGTTTGGGTGAAAGTTTACCCAAGTCATTAACTTCCCATTTGGAAACTTACATGCTTTTTCCTTCCTTCCTTCCTTCCTCTTTCCTTCTTTTCTTTCTCTCTTCCCTTTTCTTCTTTCTTTCTCTCTTACTCTTTCCTTCCTTCCTTCTTTCTTTCTTTCTTTCTTTCTTTCTTTCTTTCTTTCTTTCTTTCTTTCTTTCTTTCTTTCTTTCTTTCTTTCTTTCTTTCTTTCTT